CATGTTGGTTTTTAAAATGGATAATGTTTAATGATAATAATGAGGCTATATTAAATAAAGCATTTAAATGGTAATGAACGAAAGATTGCATTAGGGATCATGGACTGTTGGATTTAAAATCGCTAGATTTTCTTATAATATGAGCTAAACAGCATTTAACGATTTCAGTAGCAGATACAATAGTTCAATTGATAACAAAATAAAATTAGAAAAAAAGTTCAATAATATAAATGATGGTATTGCAAATCTAGACGACCTGGTTGATTTCATGGAAAGAAAATATAAATTAAGAAAAATGCTCGCTTCGTACTTGTCTCAACCAACATTTAGAAGGTGATAGCCCGTTTAATTTTACATCAGAATATGCAGAAGATTATTATAATCTATTTTCTTCACATGGTGATGAAAATCATCATAACGGTGAATATATGTCAATGTTTAATTAGGAATACTATAACGAAGTTGCTTAAAAAAATTTCCTGTAAAAATTTAAATATTCGGAATGATTTTTTAAAAATCAGAATAAATAATCATGTAGTTATCCTCTATTTTGAATAATAATAATAATGTTAATTGAAAAAATAGAATTTATTGTTTTTCCCACAAATTAACGGTATTATTGCAGTCAGACTCCTATATAGTCACATCCTATATAGTCGCAACATATTATAGTCACATTTTTTTGTTAAATCATAGTAAAAACAAGTCCTGTATAGTCACAAACACTATAGTCACCAAAATTCTTGAAATTTCACTATGGTCCCGAGGTGTGTGACTATATAGGAGTCTGACTGTATGCTTATACTTTTATACATCTTTGATATCATTTATTGATTGATACCGGTTCAATTACAGAATTTGAATATTTATTTATCATCATATTATATTCATTAAGAAATGCACGAGTATTTTAAAAAAATTACAAAATATTTCATCATTATTGACTTCACGAACGAAAAATTACATTTCATAAATGAAGGATTATAATTACCGGAAAGTTCCTCGACATTGTAGATACCCCTTTTTTGCACAATTTCAAAAGGTATTTAAATTCCTTGAAGTTAGACCGCAACAAAATGAATCACCAAGGATTTCAGGGATTGAAATTTGGTCGCCATCAATGTAATGTGATTGATTATTGTTATTATTTATTATTATTATTATTATGATTTTATGAAGTTATAGGGATCCAAATGAAGAAAATCATCCGTCAAAGGAATAGAATTGTAACAAGTCACGTGTAACAATGTTTTATTACAAGCCAAATAATGCAATGAATACTATACTAATTGAATCGATATCATGTGTGATTTTAATATAAACGATCCAGAATACTGGAATTACTATAGCTAGAAAAAATATCAAAAAAGACATCTCTCTAATTCTCTTATTTTTTAATTAACGCAGATACTGCACAAATTAGATAAACAAAAGAAACTGTCAGTGGAATAATCCAAGTTACTGTGTTGTATAGTACATCATCTAGTATTGGTAATAATATATTTTTTATGCTTCGAGTAAAATAACCAATGCTATAGGGAAAAAATGTATTGAGAATTGCATAAGCACTCAAATGGCGAGGCTTTGAAATAAGCTTTTATAGACATTCTGATTCTCGCTCTTCATGCAAACATTGAACAAGAGTGACATATGAATCCTCCGAGCTTGAAATGAGCAAAGAAACAATTTATTTAGTAAAAAAAGCATCAGAAAAAGGAAATTTATATCAAAATGGAATGTGTTAAGTTAGATGGAACTCAAGGCAGCTGGCCGAAGTGTTGCCATCATTATTGGAAAATCAGAGGATGAGATCTTTAAAATTGCTGGTAAATCTTTTGAATGGAATATTAAAACGAAGAGTATTTAACAATTGAAAAACAACAAGATGCAGATTCGAAACTAACATTTGTTGTTTTAAGAATGGGTTTGACTGGCAGGCAAATTTATTGTACTGATATTTAAATTCAGAATTAGTTAGAGAATGGGGAAATATAAGTTTAGTTTAACATTTATTATTATTCAATTTAAATTTATAGATTGTTAAATAACGATAATCAAAATTTGCATGACCTCATACTACCCTTAAAATCATATTTGGAAATTGTTAGAAATTTGTGTTCCTCTGAAATTACCTTTTTTTTTTTTTTAATTCTTTTAATTCAATTCATAAATTTTATAATTATTTTTTTATTTGAGAAAAAAAAAGTAATATATTTAAATAAAATAATAAAAAATGCCCGCTGACACGCGTCCTAACAACAACAACAACAACAATGATAATAATAATATTGTTACAACTGAAAATATTGATCCAGAACTTTTATCACAATTAAATCATAAAAAAGAAATCGTAAGTAGTAAAATTCAATACGATTTTTTTCTTTCTCCATTGACAATAAATTTACCAAATAATAAAAAAGTATAAAATCATCATTACTCAAGCATATTGACAAAATTTTATCTATTAAAATGACACATGTAATTTAAGCTTGTTGATGCTTTCACTCAAGTTGCAAATGCTCTTAGATACGCAGCAAGAGCATGTGATGAATTTCAGTCACTTATTCCAAGAGACGTAGGAATTATACCTGGTGATAATAACAATAATAACAACAATAATGATAATAATATGATATCATTTGGTGGTGGTGGTAATGTTGCTGGTTTTAGTATTGGTGGTGGTGGTAGCAGTAATACTGCTAGTATTTCACGACGCATGCATCATAGTAATGTTCATAACCAACATCAATCAACAGGAGGAGGAGGAAATCAAGTACGAAAATTTAAAAGAAATCAATTAAAAGATCCTAATGCGCCGAAAAGACCAAATACTGCATATATTTTGTTTAGCAATGAAATTCGTCCAGAGACTAAAGATGCTAATCCAAAAGCAAATCAAAAAGAAATAGTCACTATGATTGGTCAAAAATGGAAAGCTCTTTCTAGTGAACAAAAAAAGGTAAATTATATATATATAATATATTTTGAATCTTTTTTTATTAAATTTTTATTTTTCATTTTTTTTTTTTTTTTTTTTTTTTTTTTTTTTTTAAAAAATTTTAAAAGGTATATGAAGATCGTTATTCGGCTGATAAAGAAAGATATGACGAAGAACTTCGTGCTTATAGAGCAGGTCATCATGCTGATTCACCAGTTTCAATAACATCAAATGAAGATAATGGTGGTGAAAGTTCCAATAATAATAATAATAATAATAATACATCTAATAAACGAATGAAATCAACAATAGGTTCTTCTAGTAATAGCAGTAACACGTTTATACCAGTACAAATGATGGCTCAAAATCATAATGTTGTTGGAAGAGTGCAAATTCCAACTTCAGTAGCTCCACCATCACATTCTTCCAATGCCACCACAACCACAACAACTGCTACTACACAATTCTTAGACCCTCAATTATATTCAATGCAAGACGTATTAACTAATAAAAAATCTGGTAACACGGTCTCTTTTGAAAATGTACAGCAACAACAAGAAGAAGCGAATTCTTCTAGAAAAAATACTTCCAGAGCAAATAAACGTACAATATCTGGTATTAGGAAAGATGATAATCCAGATGAAAACGTGACAGAGGATGGACTATCTACAAAGAAAACTCGTTCTGCAACTGCTAAAGGTGATGATTCTCTAAATGATAATGATTATAATGATGAAGCTATAACAATTGTGGTGCAAGATGATTCTTCTTCAAATAAAAAACAAAGACCTAAACGTGGTTCTGGTGGTAACAACGTTTCTTCTACAAATGGATCTAAATCTAATACTGCTACTCAACAAGTTAATACTATTGCTCCATCAACAACACAAATTACTACTCGTAGTACTAGACGTACTGCTAAATCTTAAAAAAAAACTTATAATAATGATAATGATATTATATATTAAATACTACTATATATTATTAATACCGAAATCTGAAAGACTTTCTCATCAAAAAACGTTAATATCCCGGACATTATTATATATAGAAAATCTTCGTTGATGTAATTTTTTTCGGAAAAAATCGACACATAATTTCTTTAATAATAATAATAGTGATTGATAATAGAGTGACGATAGTAATTATTAATAGTAATTATTAATTATAATAGTTGGGTTTGGGAAATTCCTAAATAATTTTCTCTTTTCTAATTAATCTTTTTTTTTTTCTTTTTTTATAAACTTATAAATAATAATCTTTATTGTTTATTACTATTCAATATACTTTTTGTTTTAATTAATGTAAATATTAACCATTATTATTATTTTTTCATAATTAATAAAATAATTTAAATAAATATAATCTAAATATCTAAACAGAGTGTGAAAAATGTCTCTTTGATATCTTGTATCATTCAAAAATATGTTTTCTCATATCAAAAAACTTTCACCACATCCACAACTTTCTTTAACATTTGGATTATTAAAAACAAATTTAGAAGATAATTTGTCCTCGACATAATCCATTTCTGAACCAAGCATTTTAAAAAGCGATTTAGAATCAATTAAAACATTAACTCCTAAATGAATAAATAAATAAATAAGTACATGTAAATATAGTAGATATAAATTAAAAAAGTAATTATTAATAATAATATTTAATTAAAAAAATTTATTTCTACCCTCTTGAGTTACCACTTCATCAAATTTTCCTTTTTCTTTGGTGAGCTCCAAGTCATAAGACAATCCTGCGCAACCTTTGTTTTTTACAGCTACTCTGATCAATTTTGGATCTGGACCCTCGACAAGTTGACGTAGTCTCTTTACAGCTGAAGGCGTCTTTTTTTCATTAGTATTTTAAAATAAATAAAATTTGATATGATAATGACAAGACTGTGAGTTATATATATAACTTACGATTGTCAATGCTGCTTTTTTTTGAATTCTAGGTCTTACTTTTGTTGTTGAATTGTTAACAGCTTGTTTAATTGTTGAAGTTGTTGCCGATCTCAATGCTCCTGCTAATGACATGATTTTTTATTTTTCAAAAATAAAAATATATGAAAGAAAATCTTAATGTAACGCAATGATGATTAACATTATTACTAATACTAAATACTAATATTTTTAATAATTAAAAAAAATGGGTAAAATAAAAGACTTAGTAAAAAAAGATAAAAAAGATAAAAAAGATAAAAAAGATAAAAAAGATAAAAAAGATAAAATAGCAAAAAAAGATAAAACCATAAAAAAAAATAAAACTATAAAAAAAGATAAAGTAAAAAAAGAAAAAACAGACAATGACACAATATTAAAAACCGATCATGATAAAAAAGATAAAAAGAAAAAGAAGGAAAAGAAAGATGAAAAATCAAGTGATCAGAAGGATGAATCTACTATTGGTGCTATAATAAGACCCACAACTTCTTCAATTATACATACTACAATACGCAAAGTGACAGCAAAGATTTTAATAGATTTTCCACCAGCGGCTTATAAAAATCCAACGGAAAGTGTTTATACAATTATGAATTCTTTAATAATGAAGTAAGCTTGTTTTTTATATTTCGCTGATTCACGTGATATTTTTAATCCCAATTCACACATGTCCATATTCATATGAATTGGAATAAGATATAATGAACAATTAGGCGGATTTGTAATAAGTTATGAAAATTTGGTAAAATTAGATGATTCAGGATATATATTTGAAGATTCACCATATGTGCATTTTTTTGTTCAGGCAGATTGGACTATTTGGTCAGCACCAAATGGCAGTAAATTAAGTAAATATATTTTTTATTTGAAAGGTTTTAAAAAAAACTTTTTTTCTTCCTTCACCAAATTAAAAATTTTTTTGTCCATACTTAGTTGGTAAAGTTGTGGGTCAATCAAACAATCATATTGGATTATTGGTACTTGATATATTTAATGTAAAAATTCCTTATACAAACATGCCTAATGAGATATTTGAATGGGATGGGCAAAATGACCTGGTTGAGAAATTGCTTACAATAGAAAATATTCAATTGGAATTAGTGACGACGCAACAAACTATAGGAAGTTGGATAGATAAGAGAACAGGTGAAAAATTAATTGATAGATTTATTGAATTTGAAGTAGTAAGGTAAATTTTTTGTTTTTATTAATTACATTTGTTTATTAATTAATATTTTTACCATCAATTAATTAACATGATCTGATTATCATTAGTTCAAACGTTGATTTAAGTTTTAATTCGATGACAATAGTTGGATCCTTACTTTATTATAATGACACCAACAAAAATAAAGATAAACAGTAGTAAAGATAAACATTAACATTGATAGTTAATAAGCGGTAGTGTAATTTTTATTAAATGAAAAAAAAATGAAATGTTTTGTTAATTAAACTATTATTAAATAAATTATTAATTAATTCAAATTAAATAAATTATTATTTAAAATTAAATTAATAAATCTAAATTACTATTAAATAAATTATTAAATTATTAGATTATTAAATTATTAAATTATTTAATCATCATATGTATTATTAACTTTGATAACAATTTCTTGGGGCTCAGATTGTTCTATTGGATCGACAATGTCAACTCTACTGTTTTTGCTAATATTATATAAATGTTTCTTTTCTGTTAATTCACGCCTCGCTACTTTTCTTGACTTCCTCCTTTCTTTTACAATATATTGTTTAATGTAAAATTGTATAATAAGTGAAAAATATACCTGTAATAACAATTAATAATCATTAGTAATTAATTGATTAATATATTGGCAATTAATTGAACAAGAGCGTATTTATACATACATTCGCGGAAATTATTATTACGTATTCAATTATCGACTTTAAAAAATCGTTGTCCACTTTATCACTACAATTTTTATATGATGCCATAGTGTTAGCCATGTCATTAGGGTCTGGGGCTAGTTCTTGTGCGCATACATTACTAAAGTCATGTTTACTAATCATTATTGCGGAAGTCGTGACAATAGCTACTACTGTTACGGAGAATACTGAAATAAACCATGTAGTATATGAATATATACGAAATAATTTTATGGATTTCTAATTTATTATAATTATATATCGTGACGTATGAATGGTTAATTAGTATAATGTTAATATATATAAAAAAAAATAAAACCAAATTCTTACGCCGAAAAAGAAAAATACGACAAGACCATATAAAGCCACACATGAAAGAGATATGAATACTATGGCATTAAATGTTGAAATTGCTCCAAGATATCCAAATACTATTATATATATAAAATACTAATAGTATTAATTATCATTATAATTAGCAAAAGAAAATCAATAATAGTTGAAAATGTTGATAATTACTATTAGTATTCTTGTTGGTATCAAATGCAGGTCTAAGAAAATATGCCGCAGAAAGCAAGCCTATAATCTATAGATAAATCGAATTGAATTTATTAAATATTATAATGAACGTTAATGATATTTCTAACATGATATCAAGTAATTACCAGCCATATTACAGCCGAGATAATGACTCCTTGTCGCAATTTCATGCAAAAGAAAAAATGTTCATATTTATGCCTTTGTTTCTTTACTATTCTATTAAGCATCGTTTTATTGTGTGTGTGCGCGTGTGTGTGTGTGTCTATTTCTATAAATTAATGAAAGTATTAAAATTGGGAGGGAAAATTTGGAGTTTGGAGAAATGTTAGGAATTATTAGTAAGTAGTAGTTTGATGATATATTTGTCCCTTTCAAAAATAATTTTTTTTCTTTGAGAGGAAAAAAAAACTTTTTTTAAAAGGGGCATAATTTAAAAGATTGAATGAAAAAAAGTGAATTCATTTATATTTATTTTTCCATAATTTTACGTGAATAAAGAACGGATTTGTTTTTCCTAAATTGGAATTTTTATTCATAGTGTTGCAGATTAATCTAATCGGTTATCAGATTTTCAATTTCCAAGATAAAAAGTTGCAGATAATTCCAAATTTGGTCAGTGCAATACTTGTATGAAATTTTCAATTGCATTTTTTTTTTTAATTTATTATAATTCATCATCTTTTATTAAATGTAAAATAAATATATATAATTAGTCATTTTAATTTACTAATTCTTTAATAATCATTATATCAAGGTTAATAATTATAAGTGATTTCTATTAAGCCGTAATATTATGTAATTAATTAGCTAAAATAATAACAACAATTATGATTTTCAGTCATGGATTATGCGAATTATCAAGTATCTCTCTCGAATATATCTCCCACGCACATATCTATAATATCTAACTTGTTTCTTTTTTCTATAATTTATTTTTGTGATGAATTTCAGTCACTTATTCCAAGAGACGTAGGAATTATACCTGGTGATAATAACAATAATAACAACAATAATGATAATAATATGATATCATTTGGTGGTGGTGGTAATGTTGCTGGTTTTAGTATTGGTGGTGGTGGTAGCAGTAATACTGCTAGTATTTCACGACGCATGCATCATAGTAATGTTCATAACCAACATCAATCAACAGGAGGAGGAGGAAATCAAGTACGAAAATTTAAAAGAAATCAATTAAAAGATCCTAATGCGCCGAAAAGACCAAATACTGCATATATTTTGTTTAGCAATGAAATTCGTCCAGAGACTAAAGATGCTAATCCAAAAGCAAATCAAAAAGAAATAGTCACTATGATTGGTCAAAAATGGAAAGCTCTTTCTAGTGAACAAAAAAAGGTAAATTATATATATATAATATATTTTGAATCTTTTTTTATTAAATTTTTATTTTTCATTTTTTTTTTTTTTTTTTTTTTTTTTTTTTTTTTAAAAAATTTTTTTTTTTTTTTAATTATTTTTTTTTTTTTTTCATAGATTTTTAAATTTTAGTATTTCTTTTTTTTTTTGTTTTTTTTTTTTTTTTTGTTTTTTTTTTTTTTAATTTTTTTTTTTTATTTTTTTTTTTTTTTTTTTTTTTTTTTTTTTTTAAAAAATTTTAAAAGGTATATGAAGATCGTTATTCGGCTGATAAAGAAAGATATGACGAAGAACTTCGTGCTTATAGAGCAGGTCATCATGCTGATTCACCAGTTTCAATAACATCAAATGAAGATAATGGTGGTGAAAGTTCCAATAAT